CCTCGATCAGTCTTTGTGAATGTTACTACACCCATAGCCAATAAAAATGATTCGTATGTTTTCCAAACCGGTAAAAATAGAAGTCCTTTTTTAAAATTAATATATTATTTAAAGGTGGCCGTTAAAATCTAATGACTGTAAAATAAAGTATAAATTACGCCAAGAATTACTGTATATGTCAATATTTTATTTGCATTTAGGCCAATTTGACCAAACTCCTTTAATAATTCCATTGAATTTTGCAATTTTTCATGTGAAATCTGACAATTGGGGTAGGGGGTAAAAATTTAGTAATACGTACGTAGTTCAATTTGAGTATAGTTAAAATACTCTAGAAAAAGATAAACATTTAAACGAAAAACACAGTGTGTAGTAGGTAGAACTGCTGTACCAGCTATCTCCGCGTCTGGACTTCACCGTCACTTAACATCAGGTGGGGTGGAGTCATTTGTCTGACCTATCTTCTTTTATTACTTTTTTGACGTTTCGCATCCCTTTTTAGGCTGCGTCGTCAAAATAATAAAAATAAACATATGTCAAAATTTGACACAATTTAGGTACTATACAGGGTGTAAAAAATCCTATGAAAAAAACTCAAACTATGCATTCTGTACACACAAACAAGTAATATTACAAAATATTATACGTGGGAAAAAATTGTATTTTCAAGTAAAATTTTTTTTTTCCAGTACGCAATGTATAGCGCGGCGCGCTACTGTACCTGCTACGCAAAGAATGTGCCTGTGTGTATGTGTGTGTGTGCGTGCGTGTAAGTGCGTCGATCAAAAAGTTTCTAAATAAGGTTTTGAAAATATTAATGTAAAAATCTTGAAAAAATTATTGTGACTTTGACCTTCAATATCTCCATAACCAGAAATTTCTCAGGTATGGTTCAGAAGAAAAAAAAATGACCGTCATGATGTGGAAAATACTATATAAATGGCCTTCGACTTCGTTAAAGGTTTTTTTACACCCTGCGTAATTTTTAGGGACATTGGGTTTGTTTAGCCGACAAAAAGGCTAAGCAGCATAAAAAGAAAAATGACGATTGCTAAGTAGCACTGGAAAAAAAAATGTATAAATAGTTACAATTGTTAATTATTCTTATAAAAATGTTAGCACTCATCGCTAACTTCAGTTGAATCAACTAAAGTATAGTTTCCGCCGATAATGCTAGTTAGCATAGTCTAATACTGTCAAGCATTCTGGAATGCTGCTTACGCACGCACCCATTGCCTATAGCAAAATTTTGTTTTAAACAACGCGGCCGGTGTTTCGGTATCGCAATGATTTTACTGTCTAAGGGTGCGGCCAGAGTGCACTCAGATTCAGATTCCGAAAACAAGCGCGTGAAATAAACAGTGTAGTCGAAGGGTACGGCCAGAGTGCACTCCTGATTCAGATTCAGATTCAGACTCAGAAAACAATGCGCGAGAAAAAGCAGGCAACCTGCTTAGACTACACTGTTTATTTCTCGCGCTTGTTTTCAGAATCTGAATCTGAATCTGAGTGCACACTGGCCGCACCCTAAGGATTTCCGTCAAACTGTGACAGTAATTCGAAGATTGACGACTGCTGCTGCCAATGAAATAAGGGCTTTACTCTATTAATAGAATTTGTAGAACCAGGTAATGAATTTTCAGCTGACAGTAAAATGAGAGTTACATTGCTGAATGATCAATTCACAAAAGATTTCTCAGAACAATTGGTGGTATCGACGGTAATAGCTGTGTTCCTGTTGGGTAGCTGGGTCAGCTACATATTTGTTTTTCCTTTTTTTACATTCGAATAATAATGTCGCCTTTTTTATGAATTGCCACGAAGTTAAGGAAGGTCTTTATAAAAATGTTTTCTTTTTGGAGTGAAACCTTTTTCGTACGCGGTGTAAATGTAAAAATCCAATGGAAAAGATGAAACGGAAAAGCGTCACGAGCGTCACACGCTACAAAATATATATATATATACCTATTATTTATTTTTTTATCATCAACAAGTTTCAACGGCGTTTTACACAATATAATTTAATATAAATTTTTAAACGGTACTTTAGCCACTTACAGAAACTCACTTTGTATTTAATTCAAAAATTAAAATGATAACGTAGGGTAGAAAATAAAAATATAATATAATAATAACATAAAATAAATACCAACAAAGATTCAAATTAATTTTGCGATATATATAAATACCTATATAAATGAAAATTATAAATGGAGCATGATAACTAAAGGAGATTGCTCAGCTTCCATACATGTTTGGCCTAAAGACCAATAATCATGCAAAATTGTTTCCTAGATTCGAAATTATATATAAATTACTGTAGAAACGAATATTATTGACGAACACCCCTGAGAACTTCTATAAACCATATACACTGAATGATTTTGAGGTTATGTTTGCAAATAGGTACATAGGTTTTAAAATAATGAAAAACAAATAAGTTATATGCAAACTAGGGAAATCAAACCAAGTACCGAAATTATGTATTACATTCAGATATATAAAGCATGTAGATTGCCTGTTTTTAAAGTTAATGCATAAGAGTAACTTTGAAAATCAGGTATCATCTATGGATTTCCGTTTATAATAAGGTACTCTGTGACAGAATCTGTGTGTTATTTGTGAATGAGCCACAGATTAGAGAGAATTTTTAAACTCTGGTTAACTAAAGAAAGCTTATTATTTTTGTTGTGTTTATATTATAACCATATTTTAGATTTTAGGTGTATCACACCTTATAATGTGTTTATGGGAGGTGTTTGGCGAAAATGTATGGCAATAGAGTTTATGATGTCGCCTACCATCTAAAATATTTGTCTTAGCACATTTGCATGTAGTAAAAATGATAATATACTTGTGGATATTAATACCACAGTGTAATAAAAATATTTATTTTATCGATCTTTACAAAATAGATTTGTTTTGATGTTATATAAACAACTTCGATCAGTCTTTGGCTGAATGTTACTACACCCATAGCCATTAAAAATTCTTCGTATGTTTTCCAAACCGGTAAAATAAAAAGTCCTTAAATCTAAAGAAAATATAACTAGAAAAAATTCCACGCGGACCAGGCAGCAGACGGGACTCGAACCCGCACCCTTCGCAATCCGGGCGAATGCACTGACCAATTATGCTACCGCGGCCCTCACGGACCGCGTCGAAATTCTTTCTAGCTATTCTTAAGCTGCAAGGCAGCGCCATCTCTTCGCATTATAGGTAAACCCACAATGTCAAATGAATACTTTTACAAGTATTAAACATTTGAAAGAAGAAATAGCAATTATAGTTATAATTTTATTATTTTTAAAGCATGTAACTGCTTGATGTTTAAATCTAAAGAAAATATAACTAGAAAAAATTCCACGCGGACCAGGCAGCAGACGGGACTCGAACCCGCACCCTTCGCAATCCGGGCGAATGCACTGACCAATTATGCTACCGCGGCCCTCACGGACCGCGTCGAAATTCTTTCTAGCTATTCTTAAGCTGCAAGGCAGCGCCATCTCTTCGCATTATAGGTAAACCCACAATGTCAAATGAATACTTTTACAAGTATTAAACATTTGAAAGAAGAAATAGCAATTATAGTTATAATTTTATTATTTTTAAAGCATGTAACTGCTTGATGTTTAAATCTAAAGAAAATATAACTAGAAAAAATTCCACGCGGACCAGGCAGCAGACGGGACTCGAACCCGCACCCTTCGCAATCCGGGCGAATGCACTGACCAATTATGCTACCGCGGCCCTCACGGACCGCGTCGAAATTCTTTCTAGCTATTCTTAAGCTGCAAGGCAGCGCCATCTCTTCGCATTATAGGTAAACCCACAATGTCAAATGAATACTTTTACAAGTATTAAACATTTGAAAGAAGAAATAGCAATTATAGTTATAATTTTATTATTTTTAAAGCATGTAACTGCTTGATGTTTAAATCTAAAGAAAATATAACTAGAAAAAATTCCACGCGGACCAGGCAGCAGACGGGACTCGAACCCGCACCCTTCGCAATCCGGGCGAATGCACTGACCAATTATGCTACCGCGGCCCTCACGGACCGCGTCGAAATTCTTTCTAGCTATTCTTAAGCTGCAAGGCAGCGCCATCTCTTCGCATTATAGGTAAACCCACAATGTCAAATGAATACTTTTACAAGTATTAAACATTTGAAAGAAGAAATAGCAATTATAGTTATAATTTTATTATTTTTAAAGCATGTAACTGCTTGATGTTTAAATCTAAAGAAAATATAACTAGAAAAAATTCCACGCGGACCATATTATATTATTTAGCAGTATTCATTTGACATTGTGGGTTTACCTATAATGCGAAGAGATGGCGCTGCCTTGCAGCTTAAGAATAGCTAGAAAGAATTTCGACGCGGTCCGTGAGGGCCGCGGTAGCATAATTGGTCAGTGCATTCGCCCGGATTGCGAAGGGTGCGGGTTCGAGTCCCGTCTGCTGCCTGGTCCGCGTGGAATTTTTTCTAGTTATATTTTCTTTAGATTTAAACATCAAGCAGTTACATGCTTTAGAAATAATAAAATTATAACTATAATTGCTATTTCTTCTTTCAAATGTTTAATACTTGTAAAAGTATTCATTCGAGGCAACACTGGAGGGATAGTTCCATAATTTGTGCTCCTCGTTTAATAGTGTTTTAATTGCGGATTTTAAGGGAAAGGTGATGAAACTGGTGATCGCTCTAATGGAAAACTTCTAATTAACACGCGTAAGTGTTTGCACCAAGAACAAGACTGCTTTAACAAATAATTGGTCTCGGAAATAAATTGTATTTGGGTACTCAACAAAAACAATTTGAAAATACCCACAACATTTGCTGATTTGAGGTTGTCAAAATCGAATTGACGTCAAATTTACCCAAGTGTCAAAGTTAATATTGCCAGCTTATGAAAATCACCTCACTGTTGGGGAAAGGCAGTTGATTGAGTTACCAGTTTTTATTAATTATTATACCTATTGCAATTTTCACGAAATGTCTTCAAAAGTGAACTCGAAACCTGCCACCTGCGCGGCGTGCATTAAACCACTCCCTAAAAATGAATATTTGCAATGTTCGTGTTGCAAAGCTGTTTATGATCTGGATTGTATTAATATGAGCAGTCAACGTTTCCACTCATTCTATGCATTGAATAAGGATCGTAAAAATAGTTGGAAATGTCCGGAATGTATCAGTAAACAACCTAAAAGAGGTAACCTCAACACGCCTGTTCGACCTACTGTGCAGGTTCAAGATGACGACGCTAGTGCATCACCGGAGAGTCCTACTAATCAAGGAAATCAAAATATTACAGTACGATCAAAAGTTAAAAGTCCGAAATTGTCCACTAACAAGGAAATTATTACATGCGATTTGAGCTACTCTGACTTCTCAGACATTGATTTCAAGCAATTAGTTATGGAGGAATTGCGCGCTATACGATTAGCTGTTACAGGGCTTACCAGTGCTATTGAATCCCAAAATTTGAGGTTGAACGTCTTGGAAGCAAAAATGGACTCTTACGAAACCAAAATGTGTGAGCCAAAAACTCATGAAATTGTAGAACTGGAAAAAGCTTTAGCCAAATTACAGCAAGAGATGCAGGAACGGGATCAGGACTTGTTGTTGACTGATGTTGAAATCTCCAATTTACCAGAGACAAATGGTGAAAATGCCACTCATATATTTCTTACAGTGGCAAATAAACTCGGCGTCCAACTAGAAGAGAGGGATGTCGTAAATGCGGAGCGTGTCGGTCCGGTGCGTTCGTTGGTGGAGGGTGCTGCACCGCCGCGACCGCGTCCTCTGGTTGCTCGGCTGGTGCGCCGTGCCTTACAAGACTCACTTCTACGGGCTGCACGTGTGCGCCGTGATTTAACCTCTGAAGACCTACCTCTCCCGGGCACCGCTAGACCTTTTTATGTTAATGAGCGGCTCACCAGAGTAAATCGGCAATTTTTTTATGATGCACGCGCTGCTGCTAAACATCATAAATGGAAATACGTATGGACAAAGAATGGTAAAATCTTTGTGAGGAAGGAACAGGGTAAGGACTGTCATCGGCTTCGCACGCAAGCAGACATAGACAGGGTTTTTGGTCCCCAATTTGTTAGTGCTATTGCTTGATTTAATTGATTGCTATAAAAGTAGGCTAAGTAATTCTTTCGCTTTAGCAAATCGTTATATATTTTTTAATTTATTTAGATTTATTCCTAAAAATTCAAAACGTTTGTTACGTTATTACATTTTTATCTATAATGCAATTTATTATTTGGAATTAGAAATGTTTTACATATATGAATTGGGTAATTGCTTGCTTGAAACAAATAGTTTAAAACCCAAGTGTATTTTTAATTGCTTGAACTGTTATATGTTGCTATTAACAATGTTGGCTAAGTATCTGTTTTGTAAAAGTGTTTCCGTGCATGATTATTTTATGTATCTTAAGCTAATTAATTGTATGGATTGGCGTCATGTTGGTGTTCTGAAACAATATTTGGTAAACTGCCAGTATATTCATACATCTTGTGCATTTGTTTTGATATTCAAAAAATTTAAGAACTTTCGCTTAGGTTTTCTGAATCCAGGTTCATTAGGTACCAATCACGACGAATTTCTGGTCGCTATCGAGCGACATGGTGTGGACATTGTAGCCATTAACGAGACTTGGCTGCGGGCCGGAGAGGAGGCGCGCGCTCCTGCGCCCCCCGGCTACCGTCTGCGACATTTACCACGTTCGCCTGATGTACGCTCACGCGGAGGAGGTGTTGGTTTTTATATTAAACGTGGTCTTTACACCCGTCTTCTCGAACATCCCAACTCTCACGCCGTGGAACAAATGTGGTTGAGATTAAATTTGAATGGACATAAACTTGTATTGGGTACTGCATACCGACCACCCTGGATGAATGTTGATACTTTTATAGATGCGTTGTCAGAGACAGTGAGTAGTTTGTCGGCAGCTGATCATGTAATCTTAATGGGGGACTTTAATATTGATCTTTTAAAGTGTAGTGAATCCAATTCAAGAAAGTTGCTTGACTTTTGTCACACAATGAACCTTAAGCAATATGTGTTCGAACCGACACATTTTACTGACCACTCGGAGACCTTGTTGGATGTGGTATGTAGTAGCGCAAAGGTAGTAAACATGCAAGTTGACCACGTGCCGGATCTCAGTAGTCATGCATTTATATCGTTCGATTTAAATATTCAGAAACCGAAACAAGCGGCTCGTTGGATAACGTATAGACCACTTAAGAACATTGATTTAGATCACTTTGACGAAGCTGTAAATGCCATAGTATGGGAATCGCTATTGAGTGAGGATTTAAACAGTACATTGACAGCTTTTAATACACATCTCACAAATTTGTTCGATATCTTTGCCCCGACAAAAACATCTTACATCAAAGAACAGAGTTACCCTTGGATTACACAAACGGTCAAAGAGATGATGAGTTTAAGGGACGATGCTCATGCTAGATATCGTAAAACTAAAGTCGAGAGTCACAAAAACTATTATAAGGATTTAAAAAGCATAGTGAATGTAGCGATCCACAATGAAAAGACTGCATATTTCAAACACAATGTTGGCAAACACTCTAAAAACCCACGTACACTGTGGAAAAGTATTAAGCGTTATGTAGATTTCAACAATAAAAAACATTCGGAACTGCCCGAGAACATTTCAGATCCTGATCATATTAACAGGCATTTTCTGGATCTACCGGTTTCCGTTAAACGAGACTATGCACAATTCCAACAATTTAATGTAAGTCGCTTTAGTAATAGTGTGTTTAATTTGAAGCCGGTGGATGAAACGGTAGTATCGGAGATTATTGGAAACATGAAATCAAATGCACAGGGTGTGGACGGTATTTCATTGAACATGATCTTGCTGACTCTGCCGCGAACCTTGAGCATCATCACTACTATTATCAATATGTCTATCACAAGTTGTACTTTTCCAGACCAATGGAAAGTATCAATTATCAAACCCCTCCATAAAGTAGATCATCCAACAGAGCTCAACGAACTTCGTCCGATTAGCATCTTGCCATTTATGTCAAAAATTTTGGAGAAGGTTGTGTGCGCCCAACTAATAGAATATTTGAACGCGAATAACATTCTGCCAAAAAGACAGTCTGGTTTCAGAACGGGTTTGAGCACGGCAACAGCACTGTTGGATGTCGTTGATGATATACTGGCAGGTCGAGATGCAGACAAAGGTACAATGCTTGTTTTGCTTGACTTCTCTCGCGCGTTCGACACAATCGACACTGATTTGCTTTTGGCCAAACTTAAATATTACGATTTCAATGATTCTGCTGTTCGTTGGTTTTCAAGTTATCTGTCTGGTCGAAGTCAAATGGTTGAGGTTTTATCTAAGAGTGGCATAAAAAAGTACTCTGCGACTTCTCCTGTTTATCGTGGCGTACCACAAGGATCTATACTTGGGCCTATACTGTTCATTTTATATACTGCTGACCTACCAAGCTGTGTACTAAACTGTAATCATCACTTATACGCCGACGACTTACAAGTTTATAAATCATTTAAGCCTGTTGAGACTAATCTAGCGGTGAATGCAATTAACAGTGATCTAGATCGCATATTTCAGTGGTCGGTAAAGAACGGTTTGTTACTGAATCCAGTAAAGACTAAACTGATGGTCTTAGGCACGGAAACTCAAATAAAACAAATCAAAGCCCATAAACCTGTGTTGAAAGTAAAGTCTGATGCAATCGAACAAGTAAGTGAGGCTAGAAACTTGGGTGTTTTATTTGATTCTAACTTGAGATTTGAGAAGCATGTAACAGACACTGTCAAACAATGTTTTTATAGGCTAAGGGTGCTATATCAAATACGTAAGTATTTGAGTGTGGAATTGCGAATTCACCTCTGCGAGACACTAATATTATCTAAATTAAATTACGCAGACACTGTCATTGGAGATTGTCTTTTAACTAGATCAAAAATGCTTATACAGCGAGTTCAGAACGCTTGTGCCAGATACTGTTTTCCAATTCCCCGAAGAGCGCACGTGACACCCTATCTAAATAGAAGTGATATGCTAAATATGGAAAACCGTCGCAAAATGCATTTTGCGAGTTTGTTGTTTGGAGTTATACAATGTAAGCGCCCCATATACTTGTATGAGAAGCTGACTTTCTCTGAGCGTCCTTTGCGGATAACATCTCGTATGAGGTGTCCCGCACATAGAACTAGTGCATTTCGAGGTAGTTTTCGTTATGCAGCGACCAAATGTTGGAATAACATTCCTCCTCCAATAAGGAACTCCAAAACGGTTTGCACTTTTAAAGTTAAATACAGGAAATATTTATTAGATGTGCAAAAGTTGCAATGAACTAACCTGAACCTAGAACACTATGGTTGATTTTGAGCACCATTTCATACGCTGTAAATTTTAATTTAATTTATTTTTTTTTGGCTTTCATTTTGTTTCGCAATATTTATCCAATTGATTTCAGTAATTTGACATTTGTATTTAAATCTTTTATTCTTAATTTTTATTTAAATTATTATCGATGACCTTAAATGTCATTTAATTTAAGTAGGCTGCTGCTGAAAATCAGTGTCGTGGCACATGTTGCCTCGACATATACTGAGCAGTGACCTGTTTGGTACACAACCTTTATGTAACACAATAAGTTATTTTTGTAATTTGTGCCAAATAAACGTTTTATTATTATTATTATTATTATTTGACATTGTGGGTTTACCTATAATGCGAAGAGATGGCGCTGCCTTGCAGCTTAAGAATAGCTAGAAAGAATTTCGACGCGGTCCGTGAGGGCCGCGGTAGCATAATTGGTCAGTGCATTCGCCCGGATTGCGAAGGGTGCGGGTTCGAGTCCCGTCTGCTGCCTGGTCCGCGTGGAATTTTTTCTAGTTATATTTTCTTTAGATTTAAACATCAAGCAGTTACATGCTTTAAAAATAATAAAATTATAACTATAATTGCTATTTCTTCTTTCAAATGTTTAATACTTGTAAAAGTATTCATTTGACATTGTGGGTTTACCTATAATGCGAAGAGATGGCGCTGCCTTGCAGCTTAAGAATAGCTAGAAAGAATTTCGACGCGGTCCGTGAGGGCCGCGGTAGCATAATTGGTCAGTGCATTCGCCCGGATTGCGAAGGGTGCGGGTTCGAGTCCCGTCTGCTGCCTGGTCCGCGTGGAATTTTTTCTAGTTATATTTTCTTTAGATTTAAACATCAAGCAGTTACATGCTTTAAAAATAATAAAATTATAACTATAATTGCTATTTCTTCTTTCAAATGTTTAATACTTGTAAAAGTATTCATTTGACATTGTGGGTTTACCTATAATGCGAAGAGATGGCGCTGCCTTGCAGCTTAAGAATAGCTAGAAAGAATTTCGACGCGGTCCGTGAGGGCCGCGGTAGCATAATTGGTCAGTGCATTCGCCCGGATTGCGAAGGGTGCGGGTTCGAGTCCCGTCTGCTGCCTGGTCCGCGTGGAATTTTTTCTAGTTATATTTTCTTTAGATTTAAACATCAAGCAGTTACATGCTTTAAAAATAATAAAATTATAACTAAAAAGTCCTTTTTAAAATTAATATATTATACAAAGGTGTCCGTTAACATCTAATGACTGTAAAATAAAGTATAAATTACGCCAAGAATTACGGTATATGTCAATATTTTTTGTACATTTGGGTCAATTTGAGCAATCTCCTTTGTGTAAATGGGTATGTACGTGTGTAGTGTAGTATGTGTGTGTGTGCATGTGCATGCCTATTTATATATGAGTGATGCGTGCGCTGCTCTATAATTATTGTGTAGGTGCGATTAATCAATAGCGAGGAGAAAAAACTTCTCCCTGCAAATTGAGGTCACAAGCTTGGGTTACCCTACTAATTGATTTTCATACCTTTGAGCATTATTATTTTTTTAGTTATTATTTGAAATATCTGGAAGCTGTCCGTTCCTCACTAATGAACTCTAGTCACTGTGACCCAAAAGAATTGTTCGCCCGCCACCAAATTAAAATAACTTTCTTGGTTCGAAAGCTTTTAGGATACAATTTCATCCAAATATTAATATTTTTAGGTTCTAGAGTTTAGTTTCCTCCGGATGGATCTCTCCTTGTAATATTTTATTTACATTGTGTGATAGAATTGAAGGGGGAAAAAGTGTACTATTTTTCTAGTATTACAAGCGTTAGTATTGAAGCTCCCCACGCTTTTTCAGTTATATATACTTAAAATCAACTATAAACATGGCTTACTCTAAAGCCCTAATGGAGTAAACAGAGAGTATATTTTGTTTATTTTTGACTTATTAGTGCAGTAGGTAAAAGCGGGTTTTTAGTTTTTTAAACTATTAATTTTTGATAATCCTATGTCTCAATCCAGGCAGTGAACTATGGGTGCGCTAAATTTCATCTAAATCCGTTCAGTCGCTTTGCGTGATTGAGATACAAACATATAATGTTAGTAGAAATCGCTTATAATGCCGTCCATCAGGATTCACTTAGAAAGGATTTTGTTAAAATCCTTCATCCAATCAATTCTATACAGACTGCCGGTTGATACTACGGCAGCTCCTGCCTTCTCAAGAGTTCAAATCCTACTGGGATTTATGATCTCTTCGAATTACCGACGATCCTTGAATGATTAGAAACCCGTTTTTCCCAAATTAATGTATAATAAGGGTAATAGCTTATTTTCAGCTTGAATTGGCCCGTCTGTTTTGAGAAGCCATCGCTAACTTACCTCATTGAAATAGGTATCAATCACTTTATTTTAGGAGTGTTGTATTTTTGATAGTAAATATTATTACTCGGAGCTCCAAGGAGATATGAGTTTTTTTTTTAATTTCAGTAGTGAATGGTTGGAGCGACAAATAAATTGTCATTTCCTATCTTTACAATCGTCGTTTGCGTACACACTTGTACCCTTGCACCAGAAAACTTATTTTAGTTTCCTGTGGGATTATCGAGAATGTGCGATAACCTAGTAAATCATTGTAAGAAATCAGTCATTTTACATGCAATTTTCTGGAATATTTTATTCCACCAAAGGTTTTTTTAGGATTCCCTTCTTGTAAAGTCTAAGTACGAGGAGCTCGATGGCGCAAGTGGTTAGCGCGTTCGGTGCCATCGTTGAAGTTAAGCAACTTCTGCAGCGGTCGATCATTGGATGGGTGACCAAAAATTTTATATCTCGAGCTCTTCCGTATTTCGGTAGGCACATTAAGCCGTTGGTTCCGGTTGTTTCTGCAGTCGTTAGCACCCACCGCATCCGCATTGGGTCCTCGTGGTGGGTCAAGGCCCAATCTCGCTACTCCATCCGTAATCCGGTACACAAACCTTGCCCCAGCGGTGGGGACATTAAAAGGGGCCGATGATGAAAGTTTTAAGTTTCTCACAATTTGTCGAGCGACGTTCAAATAGGCCAGACAGCTAATCGAATCTTGAAGTGTCAATCTTAAATGTTAATTAATGAGAAAATTAAACCTTTTCTAAGCTAATCAGTGTCACGGGGTTGAGTATTAACCCTTCGCACTTACGTTAAGGAGCTCGTTGGCGACGCCCATTTATATTTAATGGTTACGTACAACAACACTTTAAACTTTTAACAACGGAATGGGCATGGACATTTCGCTTCTAAATTAACAAATTATTTGGAGTAAAATGTTTCATTTCAGTGTAAGTACTTTTGTTTCTTCTTATCTGGGCATTGTTAGCAAGCTGTGTAGATAAATCGGGGGACAATTTATCTAGTTACATTGATACTTTGTGATTTGCATTGCTTTTTTCTCTCATTGTACTGGGATTGGGAGAAATAGACCAGGGTCGATAATTTTTTAAACCAAAAAAAATTATAGTAGGATGAAACCCATTGGAAAAGGTACAGAATATAACAAAAATGAAAGGAAAAATAAATTACAGGCGATCTGAGGTCGGGAAGGGGGAGGGGGTGAGTTTTTAAGGGTAAAAACCGGTTAATCTCGATTTCCGGTAAAACTGCAAGTCCTATGAAAAAAAGTTAAATGGCAAAGTTGTAGGTAATAAAAAGATGTACAACTTTTCTATCGACACTTTTTTCACATAACCTCAAAATCTAAGTGAAAAATTCGAATAACCGAGTTTTTAGTTTTTTATTTTTATTTTTTGCAAAAAATAAAATTCTTTCACGAAACTTAGTGAAAACTTACCTTTGTATGTCACAAACATACAGTAATTTTTTTGATTTAAATTATTCATTTTTTCACCTTATTTTGACTTAATATCGAAAAAGCACCCTAATTTTCAATCGAAAATTCTCACGTCAAAATATCTGCTTTTTAAAAAAAGTTGATGTGTTTTTTATTTGTTGAAGTTTCTACTTTCTGATGGTATAAAAAAATATACACTACTATGGTAAATGTTCTCAGAAATTGCAAATTAATAATGAAAAAAACTCCAATCCGAAAAATTGATTTGAATCATTATGTATAATTTTCAACTATTTATTAAAATTTACACTTTAATTACTCGAAAAACGTAAGATTTCATGTTATATTGATAAACAGAAAAATTACAAATCCATAAACATGCAAAAATAGTTGTTGTAAGTAGGTATTAAAAATAGGATTTTCGGATTCGAGTTATTATCATTATTAATTTGCAGTTTCTGAGAACATTTACCATAGTAGTGTATATTGTTTTTTATACCATCAAAGAGTAGAGATTTCAACAAACAAAAAACACACCACCTTTTTAAAAAAGCAGATATTTTGACGTGAGAATTTTCGATTGAAAATAAGGGTGCTTTTTCGATATTAAGTCAAAATAAGGTGAAAAAATTAATATTTTAAATAAAAAAATGCTGTATGTTTGGGACATACAAAGGTAAGCGTTCACTAAATTTCGTTAAAAAAATATTTTTTTTTGCATAAAATAAAAATCCAAAAACACGGATATTCGAATTTTTTACATAAATTTTGAGGTTATGTGAAAAAAGTGTCGATACAAAAGTTGTAGATCTTTTTATTACCTACAACTTTGCCATTTAACTTTTTTTCATAAGACTTTCAGTTTTCCCGGAAATCGAGATTAACCGGTTTTTACCCTTAAACACTCACCCCCTCCCCCTTCCCGACCTCAGATCGCCCGTAATTTATTTTTCCTTTAACTTTTGTTATATTCTCTACCTTTTCCAATGGGTTTCATCCTACTATAATTTTTTTTCACTTTTTACCATTTTTAAAATTATCGACCCTGGTCTAAAAAATATATGTGAAAGTAAAAGTTTTACAATGTACAGGGATAGTCAGTTATGGAGACTATAAGGTGGGTAATTTAATGGCAACCTTCCAATCATCATCATCATCAGCCTATTAATGTCCCCACTGCTGGGGCACAGGCCTTCCCTATGGATGGAATAGGGAGATAGGGCCATGACCCACCACGCGGGCCCAGTGCGGATTGATGGGTGCTAACGACTGCAGATGCAACCGGGACCAACGGCTTGACGTGCCTTCCGAAGCACGGAGGAGCTTGAGATAAAAAATTTTTGGTCACCCATCCAATGACCGACCACTGCGAAAGTTGCTTAACTTCAACGATCGCAGCCGAACGCGCTAACCAGTTGCGCCATCGAGCTCCTCGCCAATGCTACTTAACTATGGTGTGGTTATGGCCTCGACAGTGGGGGCATTAATAAGTTGATGCTGATGATATACCCAGGTATTATAGAAATGTGAAACAGATTACCATAGCGTGGATGTACGAGTATATTCTTAATCAATTCCTTAATTGAGAACCCGGTGGTGGATAGTCAGTGTCGGTTAGATAAGTTATTATTCATGAACGCTTTTATATGTATATAAGAACGAATTCTTTGCCCGGCGCACGTATTCCCTCCTTTCTTCAATCTGGGGTTAGGGGTCCTTTAAGAGAGGAGTGAAGAAGCATTTTCGCAGGCCGGCAAGGTAAGGATAGTTTCTATCTTCGCATTTGGACTTTATCACCACTTAACATCAGGTGGGGTAGTCATTTGCCTACCTGGCTATATAAAAAATAATAATAAAAATAACTTTAATTTGCAAGTAAGCAACAGACAATTTAATTACGTGTTGTTTTGAATCGAAAATTAGTTTTACTGTATGTATAGTATTGACAAGATATGAACAGTCTTATTACAAAAAAGATTGAAACCTTGTTTAGCCAAATTTTGTATGATTTTTTTTCTTAAACGCTCAACAAGCGTCTAAATCTATGCGCAGGCTATATGACGCATGATTAACTTTTTTGTGGTATTAAGGTTAAATTTCAAAAGTTACTGCTTATGTATTTTTAATATTGCCTAGACCTAAAAGTAATTAGATTCAGCTTTTATGTCACATAATATATTTTATGACAGACAAATCTCTTTATCGCATTTCGAGCTCCTGAACACATGTATTGCGAGCATATGAATCAAGATCGAAAGGTATTAAGGGTATTTGTTATTCAGACGCGTGTTTGAAGAGACTTGAGCGCATTGTGGCGTCGCCGCCGCCTTGTCTCGTGTAAAAATCTTCAACACCACACAGCATCCCCTCAGGCTACCCCCTTTCGCTTTAAATTAACACCCTCGAGTCGTCGTTGCCACACTCACAGAACAGAAATATTGACACAGATAGAGCCGGGATGGCACGGTGTATGTGTGTGTGGGTAAAGGCGGTAATTTCTTTTGTTTATTGAATATAACTTACGGTTTCGGTGTTTACACGTTATAATATTGAAGTTAAGGGTGTTTTTGCAGTTGAGAGTTTTAAGAGAGGTGAGATATACCGGATTTTTTACTCGAAATAATCCACCTTACAGATATTCACAGTAAAATTACACTATTGGTGGTGTTGGGTTGTCTGTCGATTACTGAGGTTCCAGATATAAACGGGGTAGGCAACGTTGCGTTGATAGTTTTGGTATAGCAAATCGTCTAAAGGTACCCTCATCCTGCCCCGCCCCCTTCCACCAGGATGTTACTTGCGGAACCAGGAGTCGGGGAAACAGTGCTCCATCCATGTGTGCAGCAGCCGCTCGAAGAGGAGAAGAAGGAGGAGCAGCGCTGCATCCCTCAGCCCCAGCCCCCCAGGGGACGTATGGAATAGCGTCACCCCGGGAGTAGGTCTGACAAATGAATGGAAAACACAGAGAAGACATAAAACAAATATATCAGACCATTGCAATAAAGAGAACAAACGAATATAATTAAAAAAAAAACGTCTAAAGGTCCGAGTTTTAACAATCGGGAGGCGTTATAGAAAAAAGCAGTAGATGTATGGAAACAGCTACAAGAAAAAACAGATACAGAGGCGTACTATTTCAGATTTGCAAACCCCCCCCCCCCCTTTAAATCAAGATATTGGCCAGTGACGAATGTGTTTCTGTGGCTTAGGCCGCCCCTCAAAACCCATTTTAGACAATAACATTTATTTCGTTATAATTAAGGTTACCTACATTATAATGGCATTAACATGCAATTTAAAAAAGAAAATCGTATTCTAAGAAATACAGTAGATTCATGTAGAAGAACAGCAGATATTTTAGAAAAATGGGGAATCTCCTGTAAAATCGGGAGACCTGGCAACCATCAGGCGGGCCATAACTTTGTTACCCTTTTATTAAAAAAAGCGAAGGGTGCGGGTTCGAGTCCCGTCTGCTGCCTGGTCCGCGTGGAATTTTTTCAAGTTATATTTTCTTTAGATTTAAACATCAAGCAGTTACAGATTAAAAAATAAAAATTATGACTATAATTGCTATTTCTTCTTTCAAATGTTTAATACTTGTAAAAGTATTCATTTGACATTGTGGGTTACCTACGATGCGGAGAAATGGCGCTGCCTTGCAGCTTAGGAATGGCTAAAGGAATTTCGACGCGGCCATCAGGGCCGCGGTAACATAATTGGTCAGTGCATTCGCGCGGATAGTGAAGTCCCGTCTGCTGCCTGGTCCGCGTAGGTTTTTTTCTAGTTATACTTTCTTTAGATTTAAGTATTAAGCAGTTACATGCTTAAAAAATAAAAATAATGACTAAAAAAAGTTGTTCAAGTTGTTGTAGATTGTAGGGTTTGCGCTAGACAATAAAAATTGACGTTTCATGTATGGGCTATGAAGTGACATAAAATTATTATAACTCTGATTTGTCACTTCTGCTGTCCACTCGAAATAGAATATTCTCACATTGTACTGCCCCATGCATTTTGTTTTACTAACCCGTAATTATACATTATTGGCTGCTTCCTGTGCAACCGTCATTACTTCCAATTCTCCGTAACAAGCTCGATTGACCAAAATTTTTATAGTTACCTATAGGTAGATAACATTATAACAATTAATTCAGTTTAACTATTTGCATGTTGTTATGTTATGTTACGAAGTTATGTTGTCGAAAGTTCCTGCCATTCGCACGAAGCGATTTGCTTCCGCTTTCATTATGCGAACGGCTAGGGAGTGGAACTCGTTGCCGAGGTCTGTTTTCCCGGACCAATATAATCTGGACATCTTCAAGGCTAGATTATACATGCATCTTCTAGGCAGACGTGTACCATCCTAGGCCTCATCATCGCTTTCCATCAGGCGATTTAGTGGTCAAACGCCTTTCCTATTAAGTATAAAAAAAGCAATTAGTAATAAATAAAACACACCATATAAAAAAACTTATGCTATTGGCTTGCACAGACGAGCGATCGTTGATGTTAAGCAACTTTCGCAATGGTCGGTCATTGGATGGGTGACCATAAATCTTCTATCTCGAGTTTCTCCGTGCTTCGGAAGGCACGCTAAGCCAGGACCACCGGGTCCTGGCTGCATCTGCAGTCATTAGCACCCGCCAATCTGCACTGGGCCCGCGTGGTGGGTCATGGTCCAATCTCCCTATTCCATCCATAGGGAAGACTTGTGCCCCAGCAGAGGGGACATTAATAGGTTGACAAAGATGATGATGACGTACAAAAAGTTGTGCAAATAACCGAAGATGACAAGAGACCCGAAAGGTTAAAAGTATTTCTCTTTTTCTTAAACTTCATGCTAATAACAATACAACGAAATAAGAATATAAAAATCTTATCTACATTTCTAGGGATGCTGCGGAAACGCATAGAAATATGTGTATATTTTATTGACTCAGGTACAAATATTCGTATTCACCACGTTAATATTTACGTAGATCAGGATTCGAAACCAGGACCTTGAAATCCGGCATATACAAGTACCATTATACCACGGAGGAATTAACAATTAGGTATAGCTCAAATTAATATTCAGTATACAAGACTAGATTTTCCATTTTTAAGATTTCAATTTTATGTTGCTGTTAGTAAAACAAAATCCTACTATCCTATTTTCTACTAATATTTATTAATTAGAAAGTTTGTATATTTGTTACTCCAATCACGCAAAAACTACTGAGTGGATTTGGATAAAATTTGGTACGCAAATAGTTTATGACCGGGATTGAGCCATAGGATACTTTTTATCTTGGAATAGAATAATGTTAGGTTTCAGTGGGATTTTCAAAAAAAATAAAGTTAACGCGGACGAAGTCCCTGGCGGCCGCTAGTAATATAATAAATGTGAAAGTGTGTATGCTTGTTACTCAATTACGCAAAAACGGCTGAACGGATTTGGATGTCATTTGGTACGCATATAGTTTATGACCAGGATTGAGACATAAAATACATTTTATCCCTGAAAAATATAATGTTCCTGTGGTTTTCTCAAAAAAGAAAAGTGTAAAGTTCCTGCGGAATTCTCAAAAAGTGATGATAACACGCACGAATTTGCGAGCGGCCGCTTATAATATGTAATTGTAATATTGTTATACAACTGGTGCGACTCACTTGTGTTTAAAAGTTTAAGGTCAAGAGTAAATGTGTATCTGTCCAGTATTACAGACCCCTTCGTAAATCATTACCTTCTACTCAATAGGGGGCTCAGAATAATGGTTATTACTGACCAGCTCTATTTGGTCTTCTATTTGTTGTCAGCTAAAAACAATGCGAGGCCAAATTAAAACGGTACACGTTACTGCGGTAAAATTTTTGAATCCATAATCTAGATTAGCATCACAAGCAAATATTTTAACAACTGCTTACAAGTCACATGATTTTAAACGGTTGCGGTCAATGACATAAATTTATTCATATTTAAACATAATGTTTTAAGATGAATAGGGAATTCACAAGAAGTCGTGTGATATGTTAAGACGCAACGCAAAGAAAATAGCAATGAAGAGTTACAGAAAAACGGTACTTACCCTTTTTTTATAAGTTGAATAAAATACGATAAATAAGATAGTTATCCGATATTAAAAAAACTGGTATTAAAAAAAGTATAAATATTCATAAACATAAATGAAATGTGTCGTAATAAAGTAATGTAAGAACATGTGACGTTTTTTTTATAATGACTTCAGTTTTGGTTGTTTCTTTAAGCATTTAGAAAGATCTTCGGTTGAAGGACGTTTTGAATTTCCTATCAATAACATAAACACCCTGTATTTGTTTTGTTTTTAATTGAAATACTTTGAATAAGTTTATTTAAATAAATAACTTAGTTCGATTAGTTGTACATTTATTACTCTAGAGTGGCTGGATCTATTTTCATGATGTTTTATTTATATTTGATATCACCCCGAATACTTATACATTAACGAGCTTTTGTCATTAACTATACTTCTTTCTTTATTTTTAGTCCCAACTTATCACTCAAAATAATTAATAATCGTATTTGGCTGGTAAATTGTATACGTACGTACTAACTAAAATACAATTACTGAATGCGTCCTCTTCTCTATTTGCTGTGCCCTGTTCAGGGTCTACAATGATCAAAGCAATGTACCTACTAAGATCTAAGAAAACATTGTAGAACGCAATAAAGTATTGATTGATTGATTGATTAATAAACAGAGGTGTCATTCGGGACTGACCACACCAACTTCGTTCCCAAATGTCACCTCAAAAATAATTATGAATTACAAAGGGGGCTTTCGGGACCGCGGTCTCGGTCCCATATGACTACCGACTCGATTTATTGTACTAGGTAATTCATTATTTTTTGATCAGATAAAGTCATCGTCCGATTTGGGCCATCCTGATATTATGGTGGCGTGGTATTCTAGCTTTTGTAGCTAGAATCACACAGGAATGGCATTGATTAGTATACGAAAGACGCAAAAACCTGCAGAGCGTCTCCTTCCTTTTTCGCATCTTCTGTTATTCGGGTGGAATCCCGTCAGAAACCTGGACCGAGTAGATTTTTTTCTAGTAAAATTTTATTTTTACATTTAAAAATGTAGCAATGAAATGCTTAAAATTAAAATATTATAATCTATGTAAAACCTTTTAAAGAAATTTGCGCCATAAAATGTCTTCCGCGACGACAATCAGAAGTGGACTCTCTTGTATCCGATATTTTTATTTAAATGTGTAATAATTATTTCCGTTATATAATTCCTAGCTCCATTTCACAAAAGGGTTCAAAAGTTTTAATTTTGTAAGAGATTTAAAACATTATTATTTTAAATCAAA